CCACATTAAAGATTTGGTGATTAAAGAGAGAAATTGAAACCAGAAGTATTTCTTTTTGTTCTCTTGATTCTGTATCACACAGAGGGAAATTTCAGATAGGCAGCAAAGTGCAGCCCTCCATCCTACAAGGGCAAATCTTACATGAACACACACTGGATTTGCAAGAGAAAGGGAAAGCAGGCTGTCTTATGCTTGCAGCTGGGAAACCTGCCCCTAGTTCTCAGACCATCATTCCCAGGATGAAAGGGTATGGAAACAGCAGTTTCAGGGGCAGAGACCAAGAGCCTGACTCACATGGCCAGAGTAAAGCTGAGCACCAGAGCAGTGCTGACACAGATGACAGACACATCATTGTCTTTCTCAGTCACAGCAATTGTTAGGCTGTAAAGGCAGAGTCACAAGAAACAAAGCCAAAGGCATTGCTGTCACTGTACCTTGAACCCAAAAGGCCAGTGGATGAGGTAGAGATCCAGGTAATCCAGTTTCAGGTCAGCAAGAGTCTTCTGGCAGGCTCCCTTCACCAGAGGCTTCTCATGAAACGTGCACCACAGCTAGGGACAAAAAACAAGGCACACTGTGACCTCCTGGGTTAAACCTCTCAGGTGCTCTCCTGAACAGCACAGAAATGTTCCATGTTCTTTGGAAGGCAATATGGAATGAGGCCATCATAGTGCTCTTCAGATGCGGTGTGCTCTGAGATGGGACTGGCCCGGGACACTGAAGGCAGTGTGTGCAGTGGCAGCACAGTGTTTGAGCAGGATCATAACGAAGTCCTCTGGTTCCATTAGTTCAGATATAATTTGTGCTGCCCACTCTGCCTTTTCCTGCAGGTTGGCCTGCAGCTGGCCTCCCCTCATCCATCCCCCAGCATTCTGTCTTCTCAGCAGGGTACCAGAACACAACAGGTCTGTGGTGCTCAAAGTTGCTGTATATTCTGAGGGAGGAATCAGACTCTTGCCTCCCTTCAGTGTTATTAGAAGAAAGTGGGGGAAGACAGCTGCCACCAGTTAGGGTAAGAGTGATTCTTCTTAAGGAACTCACTCTTCCTATCCAATGGCTACAACATTAACAATTACTGTCAGTGGACAGGAAAGGATCAAACTCTATCACTGTGGTCATGAAGTCGAACAAGACAGCAGTATCAGGAATAATCTCGTTTACATTATGAGCTTCTCCAGTGCTACAGCATTAAACAGCTTTAGGTTCCTACTGTAAACATATCACAGGTAAAGCCAGTTTGTCCATAATCCATGACCATTTGTTCCGTACCTTACTGACGATGAAGAGGTCCTCTCGTTTCACGACACCTTCCTTGATTTTCTGGTGGATCCCACGCCCAACTTCCTTCTCATTCTGGTACACGTAGGCGCAGTCAAAGTGGCGATACCCCGCATCGATGGCAGCCATCACCGCAGCTTCCACCTTACCTGGGGGGGACTGACGGGAAAAAGGGTAGGACATGTCTCAGTTTGGGATTTTCACGTACTTTTCCTTCGGTAGCTGCCGAAGCACCGCCGGGGTGCCGCTGCCCGCGGTTACCTTCCATGTGCCGAGCCCCAGCAGCGGCACCTTGGCAGCCCCGAGCCGCGCGTACGCCGCCATGGCCGGGCCGGCAGCGCTCCGCCCCCCCGCTCCCTGGCAGCCAATCAGCGCTCCGGCCCCGCCCCGCTGGCAGCTCCGCCCAATCATCAGCGGAGCCTGCAGCCAATGGGATCCGCCCGGCGGCCATGGTGGGATAGCGAGGTGGGCGTTTCTCCCGGGGGGGCGTCCGGGGGGCTGCGGCTTTTCCTGCTGGAAAAGGGTGAAATTCCTTATCAAAGATAAGGGCTGAGGGCAGGTGTGTCCCGATCTGTCTGGTGTTTGTGCTGCAGGGATCAGCTCCTGCGGCGCCCTGTCCCTGCGCCACAGGTCGTCCGTGCGTGTCTCGCTTGTGCCGGTGTGCCGGGGCGTTGCGACACCCCGTGGCAGTTCTCCCCGTGGGTTCCGAGAGAGAGGTGGTTTCGTTCAGGGACGCTTTGGCCCACGGTTTGTCATCGGTACAGCCCAGGGGTGTCCAAAAATGTGTCGATAAGCAGGAGGCCTGAGGTAGGACGTGACACAGAAGTCCCACGCTCCCCGCTCACGGAGCTCCTCCCTCGCTGCCGGGTGTGTGGCTGGGGCTGAGCCATGGCCCGGGGAAGGGCTGAGCCTTTGGCTGGAGCAGCGCGGCACTGGTGGCCTGGGCTGGTGCCAAGAACCTGCCATGCTGCGTGCTATTGAAAGGAGATGGCTAAAGATACCTCAGTATGGCTTGTGAGAGCGGGGAGCACCCTGTTTCCCTCTCCAGATGGGACAAGTACAATTTCAGTTTGTGGTAAGTGAGTTTGTGAGTAATTTAGGCAATAATCAGTACAAATCGCTTCATTTTAAACGTTGGGGGAAAGTATTTCTTAGTACGTTTTCAAAGCTGCAGAAGAGCAGTGATTCTCAGCAAATGTCACAAGGATCACATTGTGCCTGTGTCTTTAGGGAGGTGCAAACCATATCTCAGAATAAAATATACAAATGTAGAAATAAATGGTAAGTGAACTTTAATTTCACGTTAGAAATCGACTTTGAAATTGTGGAGAGGCAAAATACCCTGTTTTAATGAGGTGCTCACAGTGCAATGAAAAAAGAAATATTTATCAGCAGGATCCTTCAAGTGCTCTGTAATGTTATGTTAGGGCTGCTTGGAAGCCTTTGCTATTTGCTTGTACTTGGAGAATTGATTAATGTACAAGCATAAATTCAAAGTATGGTGCGCTTTTCTCTGAGTGCCTCTTCCACAGCTGCCCCAGGTCTTTTTGCTTCATTTAACCCAAGACAGACAAGATAATTAGTTTTTCTCTTTAATCTTCCTCTGATTTTCTGTCAGGGCTATCAAATTCCTCAGCAGGATGTGGTGTTTCAGTTCAGTCACGTAAGAGTTATACAACTTGGGCTTATCTTTCATCCTTATTTGGGATTCCTTCTCCATAGATCTGCCCTGAGTCCACTCAGTTTCTTGGTGTGGTTCATTGTTCAGAGAAGTCATTGAAGCATGCAAAATGACACATTTTGCCTTGTGAGTGATGTGTTTTCTCAAGAGAGCCCAGAGAGCAGCTGAAGTGCCAGTTTGCTCCTGCTCTTCTTCGTATTCCCAAGGCACTCGAGTCTGTGGTGCTGTGCTGGTAATTTATTAGTGTTAGTAGTGTCGCATTCAGAAACCATCAATGGTGAGTGGCTCACAAGACTTGATGTAGGAACTGGCAGAATCCATCAGATTTTGTACTGGAGCAGCACCAAGGTGAACTGTTGCCCTCGGAGAGCTGTGCTCTGCGAGCCTGTGAAAGCTTGCAAAGCCTGACTGTTTGGCCAGTGGGATGGGATCTCCTCTGAGGGAGAGCAGAAACCCTGGAGTGTTTGTTCTAATTCTTCTGAGCGCATCTTTCTGGAGACAGGTTCAAAAGCCTTACATTCCTGCGGCAAGGAGCTGGGTAGAGTGTGTGATGACAGAGAGAGATTTGGTGGAGAGCAGGGCTGAGAAGTGCAATTTATCCTTCCTTTCACTTTCTTCTGAGATTTCTGATGCTGCTGCTTCTGTGAACTCATGTTCTCCTTTGAAGGTTGGTGCTTGGTTTTCCCAAGACACATCCTGAGAGATGCCTTGCTCATTTAAGAGAGGATTTTTGGCATTTTGCTTAGTTTTGCCTGTTGCTGTGAGACCTTGCCCGAATCATGCCAATACATGGGAGCTGCCAGTTGATTTTCTGTCCTGAAGGTGTGGCTGGGGTTGTCAGATGATAGTAGGGACTTTGGGAAAGGAGTATGTATTGGAACAGGATGTTTATGTTGCTAAATGGTGTGCATTGACTCAACTTCCAGATGCTTGTTAAGGCAGGAATAAGGCAGGAGGATAGTGGTTTAATCTGATTCTAAGACCTTGGCCTCTTTTTTGCACTGAGTTCAGACCAAGTCAGGAGCATCCTCTGAGATCCCATCACCCTCTGTGTCTTCTCAGTAGGTTTTTTTGAAGACTTTAATATTTGATAATTCTTGTATTTGCCTATTTGTCTATTAACCTGATGAGCTGACAAAACTGTGTAATTAAAATGATTTAACTCCAGAAAGGAAACGATGAGCACATACCCTAAGCAGGCAGCCCTTGCCTGTGCATCCTTTGCACCTACGCCTGATACAGCAAGTTGATGTGGCTAAACCCTGATGTCTCCTTCCTTTCAGTTGGTTGTATGTGCCCTGGGATGAGAAGAGACCCTTCAAGTGGGAGCAGGGTAGCCCTTCAATGTGGGTAGGATGAGGCAGTAAGTGGTGCCCTTGGCCAAGGAGGATATGGATGAATTTGTGTGATTGTGCCCACAATGATGGCTCCAAAGTTAGAGCAAGTGTTTGATCAGGAGCTTTCCAAGGCAAAGAGGGTGGTTGTGAAAGGTGGTAGAAATTCCCTACCTCTTTAGTTCCCATGCCATATTAAATATTGTACCCCTAATGGATTCATTAACTTGGTGTATTTTTTTTGCAGGAGGTTGCTGAGGGCTTTATGAGCTGTTTCCTTTGGGAAGCTGGGAAACACATGGTCTTGGATAGTATCTTTTTGAATTGAAAGTGGAAATTTTGGGGAGAAGATCCTAAGGTGTCAGTGGTTTGGCTCAGCACCAAAGGGCTGAGCCTCCCCTGCCAACAGACACCTGGGTTGTGTGGCAGCTGAAATGGGGCTGTGCCTGTGGCTCAGGGCCTGTGGCCAGCCTGTGGATTGCTGAGGAATGGCAGGGGAGAGTGCTGAGTGGCTGTCCCAGGGAAAATCCGTGTCCCCACGGTGCAGGTGACTGCAGCCCACCTCTCTGTGTATCTCTGGGTTGGGAGGGTTTTGGTTTCTTCCTTCACTGGACAGAAGATTTTCAGCCAATTAACGTTTTTGCTTTTTACAGTTAAACTTATTTAAAATATGGGACACCTCTGATGAAATTGTGAATCCATGGGAGTTTTTTTTGTGGTTTGTCAACATCTGGTTTCTGCTGATGCAAGACTGAAGGCAATTACTGAATGGTGGTACAAGCTCTTCCACCTCTGCTTTGGCTCTTCAGTAGAAATAGTCTTCTAATAGGCAGAAGATTATTACATCCCACATTTTTTGCTGTAGAAAATACCCTTTTCTTCTTCCAAAAAAACCCAAATTTCATGAGATAAACATTCTGTGTCTTCACTGGCAGTACTGGGGCAGATGCAATAAGAAAACCAGATAAGTAGCTCAAAGTTAGAGCAGAGGCACGTGAGACACCAGAGGTCTAGTGAAGGCCATCTTCAGTATTCGGCATGGAAAGGGTATTCCTTGAGATTTTTGGACCTGAAAGAAATCAAAGAGGGAATGTTATTTAAATGCATAAATTAAATGTTATATAGAGATGCCTTGGGTACACGAAGGAGCCGCCAAGGGAAGATCTGCATCATGTAATTACAGGAAGAATATGTGGAGATATATGTCTTTGTTTCTCTAATACAGACAAAGATGAAATGAATATCCAGAATCCATTTTTTTATAATTCAAGTTACAGAGAGTTTCCTGAAAACTGAATTCAAAATGAGAATGTAGTTTGTTTTCTTTTTGTTTGTTTGTTTTGTTTTTAAAATGAAAATATTAAACCCTCTCCTGAAAAAGTGTTCTTGGGAAAACCAGTTGGAATTTGAGTTGGTGTGATTTTTAAATAAACTGAATTTCATTCTACCTAGTATCTGTGACACAAAATTCCTTGTAAAGAATATTCAAAGTTTAGGAGTTGGAAGAAAACAGTCAGTGTCACTTACATATCCATTTCACAGATCCTCCAGTTTCTGTTAAAGCTCAGAATAGTTGCCATCTCCTCTTTAGTCAATTCAAAGTCAAACACCTAAAAAGAGAAACAGATGGAAATTACCTCTTTGGACAAACAAAACAATGAGGAGAAGGACAGGATTAGAGAACAGCTCCATGCTGGAGGGTCGATTTTCACTCATGTACCACTGAATTAACAGATAGAAGGACACCTTGTTTTAGGGACACAGGAACTATTTTATGAACATTGTTTATTCTATATATGATGTTTCTGGCATGTTATTGTGTGGGGATTCCAAGCAAGCAGTGCCTGCTGATTCATCCATAAGCCACAGAACAGGAATTATCATGTAAGGGCTGATCATTAACCTCTCCAAAAATAGGCCTGGCTTGACAGTCAGTAAAGTTTAGTTGAGCATAAAGAAGGAAAAAGTGCAGTCCTGGTGCCCAAGGAGGACATGGCAAGGATGAGAAAGGATCTGTGTTTGCTCTGCAGGGAGAAGCTGTGCTGTCCCTGAAGGGCAGCACCCAGCTCACTCCTAATCTCTCACCTGGAAGTTCTCCATGATGCGCTGTGGTGTGACAGACTTGGGAATCACAATGACATTTCTCTGGATCTGGAAGCGAAGGAGAACCTGCAAGAACAGACAAGCGAGTCAGAAAGAGGATGGTTCCTGCTCTGGAGGAAGCAGAGCCTGTTCCAACAGCTGTTTTCTCTAAGCTCTGTGTACTTTGGCAGAGCTGCATTTCAAACCATTCCTATCCCTGCAGCCCAGATAGCACTGCCTGGAGAGCAAAAAGGGAAGTGGTGGAGCCTCACACGGAAGGCCTCCTTTCCCATCCAGTTTTGGAACAATTCCTTTTCTTCCCAGCCAGGCTTTTAGCAGTCTATGCAATGCTTTCATTCTCTGCAAGAGTACTTGAGAGGGGAAGGTGACATCTGAAGCTGGGTCAAGAATCTTTTGTAGGGCCAAAGAGATAGTGATAGCATGTGTTGCAGATCATATAATAAAAAATCTGTATTGTTAGGGAAAAATCAAAGGAGCGCCAGAATTCATGGATTGGGTAATATGGATAGAGGTTCTACCCTTTCCTGAGCTCTGTTTTCCTAAATGGCTGTGTTATAGGAAGGAGTACCCACTGTGTGGCACTTACTCACCTGTGCTGGGGTTTTGTTGTGTTTGGCTGCAATCTCTTTGATCTTGGGGTCATCCAGAAGGGAAGGATCCCCTGGCTTAGCCCTGCGCAGAGAAAACCAATCAATGGCAAGAAACCTCCACAGAAAGATCCAGCATAGCAACAGAGATCTGTATCTGGGTGAATACTTAATGCTGCAGGTGTAGCTTCAATGTTACAAACATAATCCATGCCAACTTCCTTGCAAATTGCAGAGCAGTCTTACCATGGTCTGTCAGGACGGCCAAGGGGACAGTATGCGGTCACAGCAATCCCTTTGGATTGACAGTACTTGATCAGCTTCTCCTGGGTGAGGTATGGATGACATTCAATCTGCCAACACAAAAGCACAGAGGCTGTTACTTGGCAGAACTGTTGAAATATTGTGCTCCATGGATTATCTCCTAATCCAGCTAGAGGCTGCCTTTTCCCCTGATTTGCTCGTGGCCTGCACGATAATAGTATTATCCTTAGTATTGAAAATACCTATTTTTATACAAAGTGCTCATGTAGACTTTGCTATGGGCGTTTCACAAAGCTCATCTCTGGGTTCTTTATTTTTCCAGAGAAACTGTTTTTAAGGAAATACTCCAACATTTGTAAACAGTGATTCAGCAAGGTGATACCAAAAAGGAAATATCCAAGTGCCTTGTGTACTCCCAAGTGTCCACAGAGAGGGATTTAAAGTACATGCTGTCTACTTTGTTTTCCCTCTTCCCATCCCTTCATTCAATTGGCATCAGGTATTTATAATGCCTGAAAACTAGTCACCTGCAGTCACTTTGCAGCTTACCTGGATATTTGCAGGCTTGTGCTTCAGTCCTGGCTTGTTCAGGATTCTTTCAATCTGCTCGTGGTTAAAGTTGGAGACTCCAATGGCTTTTACCAGACCACAGTCCACCAGCTCTTCCATGGCCTGATACAAAGAGGAGCAAAGTCAACATCCAGTATGCAAGGCAGATCATGATGATGTGTTTTTTTTTTTTTTCCTGTCACGAGCAGCACTAAATAACTGTTTAGAGTTGCAAAGTTTTCTGAGGGAGAAGCACGTACCGTCTCACCCAAGCCCAAATTCTCATTCCCCGAGTGTGTGGAAATTCAGACCAAGTTGCATGAGGAAAAGAATGATGACACTCAGTAATCCACTACTGTGCAAGCACTGGTGGGCTGTGCCCCACACTGTAGGCAAGATCTCCACCTAAAACACCTTTATTTCTGTGACATTTGAGCAATTCAAGAAGGATGCAAAAAACGTGGTGAAAATAATTGTACAGTTGTTATGGTCAAGCAATGAACTTTTTCTAATGAACAGTTTCAGTCTGACCTGCAGCTCCACTGGAAGAGCTTGTGCAGCTCACTGTGGGTCAGGTGGTCAAGTAAGACTTGGAGAATAGGAATAACTAGGTAAAGATGAAGCATGCCAATTATGAAAAGGTCCTTTGTACTGCCTTTACATGCCTTCCACCTAATTTTGCTTGAATGAGATGACAGTGGTTGTGTGACATAATTAAACCATGGAAAAGACTGATGAGGACAGAGGACATGCCTCTTCTGCTCTGGGCTGAACTTACCTCCCATGTCTGTAGAATATCAGTGTTGCTAGGTATAGCCATGCCTTTGTCATCTTTTGGCAACAGCTCCTCTCCTGCCTGTCAGTGAGAAAAAATGCTTGAAATAATCTCTGCTGGGACACTAGCTGTGTAAAACAACTAAGTGGGGATGTAAGGGGCTAAAGCTGATAGTGTATGAAAAAAACCCAAGTAATTCTCATTATAACTTAATTCTTCATGTTGCTTCTTATTCTTAGTTCATGCGTTTTGTAACCTCCTATGCCAGTAAAGACAGGTGTTTCTGCTGGACCCTTGGAAGTGATCATCCACAAAATGCATGCAGGGAAGCACACAGGGACTCAGAGAACAATATTCTGGGGTCTTACATGAGTTCACTGTAAGTGTTGTTCTGTTATGCACATTTAGGAGTAATGGCTTCTGTTTTTAAAAAGATATATGGACGATTGACTTTGTTCCTGTGAACATACACAGTTTGTGCTGGAGTACATTTGCTGACAGATGTCCCATGGGGAGGCTCACTGTTGAAGTTGCTGTATTAAGGAAAATTAGAACAGCCTGTATCTAGACAGTATGGCCAAAGTATTTTGAATGATTGGAATTTTCTAGATGCCACAATATTATGCAGTTTCACTTGATGGCTTTTTCCATATAAATCTAACTAAAGCAATATTGAGAGAATAAAATGAAGTTGAGCTCAAAAGCATTAGGTAGAATAGAGATTTTGATCTGGGTGTAGAAGAAAGGAGAGGCTAATGGTATGTGCGTGTGTGTGTGTATATATATATATAAACTGACATAAATCTTTGAAGTGCATGTAGTCCGTGAAAACTTGATATCTAAAAGCCTCATCTTTTGAAATTCAAGGTCTGTGAAACAACACTGAGTCTCCTACAGGCAAGGTCAGCTCAATCTCTACTGTATTAAGGACTTGGTGATTAAAGAGAGAAACGGGAATCTTGAAGCATTTACTTTCACTCTGTGATTTTGTAACCTGAACAGGAAAGAATTTCTGTCCCACAGCAAAGCGCAGCCCTCTGTCCCACAAGGGGTAGTTTTCAGATGAGCATGCTTTGGATTTGTAAAAGAAAGGGGAAAAGGGAAAAAGGCATAACCTATGCTTGCAGCTGGGAGGGTTGATCTTAGTGCTAGGTCTGCCTGTCCATTATCAAAAGGGCAGAGGACACTGTGCAAGCCTCACTCTCAGGGGCAGAGATCAGGAGCACAGCTCACGTGGCCAGAGTAAAGCTGAATGGGCAGCACTGTCACAGTGCTGGTACACACCAGACACATGCTCTTTCTGGAGCTGCAAGTGCTCCTGGCAGTGTTGAGGAGCTCTCCCAGGAGGAAAAGCCAAAGGCATTGCTGTCACTGTACCTTGAACCCAAAAGGCCAGTGGATGAGGTAGAGATCCAGGTAATCCAGTTTCAGGTCAGCAAGAGTCTTCTGGCAGGCTCCCTTCACCAGAGGCTTCTCGTGAAATGTGGACCACAGCTAGGGGCAAAAAACAAGGCACACTGTGACCTCCTGGATTAAAGCTCTTGGGTGCTCTCCTGAACAGCATAGAAATGCTCCATCTCCTTTGGAAGGTCAACTGGAATGAAGTTATGTTAGTGCTCTTCAGATCTGGCATGCTCTGAGATTGCACTGGCCTGTGACACTGAAGGCAACGTGTGTGCAGTGGGAGCACAGTGTTTGAGCAGGATCATAACAAAGTCTGGTTCCATTAGTTCATACATAATTTGTGCTACCCCCTTTTACACAGAGTCTGGTTTGGCAAGAGGGGATGTTTACAGGACATGTGTCTGTCATTCCTGAGCATGCACAGAACTCCTGCATTGAATGTAGCAGGCAAAGCCAAGAAAATATAAGGCAAGTGAGAGTGGTTGGCACCAACCTTTGCCTCAGTAAAAAGTAACTTCAGAATCCACCTACATAGCCTGATTTTCTTAATAAGAAAGAGAACACGCCAGTCATACCTTCCTTGAGACATGCTGAGCAGATAACACTGTTCCAAGGAGCCCAGAACCATGTCTTAGTCAAACAGCAGAGACACTCCTTTGTCAGGATTGTGAGCCCGGCTGCTGGAAGAAGTACCAGGCAGTGCCAGGCCCATCTCCTCTGCTGTACTTTAGCAGTCAGCAAGGTGCCATTAGCAAACTGGTTCTGCCTCTGTATGAGTCCTTTACACCAAGTGGTCTCAGAGCTCTGCATCACAGGTTTCTACCTTGCTTGGTGCTTACCTGGCCCACTCTTACCTTTCCCTGCTTCCCTTCTTTTGCACTAGTCAGTCTGCAGTTGGCCTCCCCTCATCCATGCCCCAGAACTTCTGGGTCTCCTCAACAGAGTGCCAGACCACAGCAGGGTACAGTCTCAGTGTATCCTTCCTAACTCTCCACACAGAATGGGGTGAAGCAGTAAGCTTGTGTCAGGAATGACTTGAATGATGTTATGATTTGCTTTATCCTACAGCATGAAATTTGTTCCCAATACTTAAGCTTTTCTACTATAAAATACTATAGGCAAAGCATTCCCCTACCGCTGCTCCAGGATGCAAGAGCATCAGATTCTTACCTTACTGACAACGAAGAGATCTTCTCGTTTCACAGCACCTTCTTTGATTTTCTGCTGGATCCCTTCCCCAATTTCGTTCTCATTCAGGTACGCATAGGCACAATCAAAGTGGCGGTACCCGGCATCGATGGCAGCCATCACTGCAGCTTTGACTTGCCCAGCTGGGGACTGAAAAGAAAGCATAGATATTAAGAATCTCAAATCATTACATGTTAAATACCCTTATCCTAGCAAAATAACACCAGGGAAACCATCTTACTGAAAGGAATTCCCCCCCCCCCGCCCCCCAGGTTGGTGGGATGTTTTTTTCTTTACAAGAACACTTATGTCTTGCAGTCATAAACATGGGCTCCAGGGCTTGAAGCCAATCTCCAACCTCTGTAGTCCACTCCAATTCGGATTCAGCCCAACAGCCAGGACGAGCTGAGTCCCAAGGACCAGGACAGCTCTCCGGAGCTGGACCAGGGAGAGTGAAGTTTTGTGCCAGGGAGCTCTGCAAATACAGGTGCTTTTCCCTGAAGCTGGTACCTGCCAGGTGCCCAGCCCCAGGAGGGGCATCTTGGCTGTGGTGCTCAGCTGCACATAGGTTGCCATGATCCTTCACGCCGTTTGGGTTGCCCCACTGCAGCTGCCTCTTGCCCGTCTGGTTTAACAGTGACTGGTCGCTGGGCAGGGCAGGGGAAGGTGGTGGAGTGTCAGTGGTGCTCTGGCTCCTCCTATATCCAGAAAACAAGGCTGCAGCTTTTTCTCTGCGCACACGACTCACACAGGTTAATGTGAAGGCTGAAATCAATTTAAAATTGAGGAGGTAATTACATGGGGCGTGCAGTGGTGTGCCCTGTGGACCTTTCCTCCCCCTGTGGACCTTTCCTCCTGGTGAAGTTCCTTATCAAAAGATAAGGGCTGAGGGCAGGTGTGTCCTGATCCAGCTGGTGTTTGTGCAGGGAACAGCTCTTGCAGTGCCCTGTCCCTGTGCCGCAGGTTGTCCATGCATATCTCACGTGTGCCAGTCACTGTTGCAATTCCGCCATGGATTCTGTGAGAGAGATGATTTCATTCAGGGGCACTTTGGCCCACAATTTGTCATTCATAAAGCTCAGGGGTGTCCTGAAATGCATCAATAGACAGGAATCACAGAATCACAGAATCTATGCCAAGTCACACCGTGTGCCTGAGAGTATTGTCCAAACTTTTCTTGAACTTTGTCAGGCTTGGTGCTTCCCCACTTCTCTGGGGAGCCTGTTATGGTGCCCATTCACCCTCTAGGTGAAGAACCCTTTTCTAATGTCTAACCTAAACCTCCCCTGACACAACTTCAGGCCATTCCCTGAGGTCCTGTCATTGGTCACCACAGAGAAGTGATCAGTGTCTGCCTCTTCTCTTCCTCTCACGAGGAAGTTGTAACTGCAATGACGTCTCCCCTCGGCCTCCTCCAGGTTGAACAGACCAGGTGACCTCAGCTGCTCCTCATACAGCTTCCCCTCAAGGCCCTTCACCATCTTTGTTGCCCTCCTTTGGATGCTCCCTAATAGCTTAATATCTTTCTGCACACAATATTCAAGGTGAGGTCTCACAATCACCACCGTCAACCGGCTGGTGATACTTTGCCTGATGCCCCCCAGACGTGGTTGGCCCTTCTGGCTGCCAGGGCACTGCTGACTCATATTCAACTCCCCCAGGTCCCTTCCCTGGCACTGCTTTCCAGCATCTCATTCACCAATTTGTATGAAAAGCCAGGGTTGCCCCATCCCAGGTGCAGAATCTGACACTTTCCCTTTTTGAACTTCATATGGTTGGTGATTGCCCAGTCTTCTAATTTGTGAGGTTTCTCTGCAGGGCCTCCCTGACTTCAAGGGAGTAAACAGCTCCTCTGAGTTTTGTGTCATCTGTAAACTTGCTTAGTGTCCTTTCCTAAGTCCAAGTCATTTATGAAGATGTTGAAGAGTACTGGGCCTAAGATGGAGCCCTGCAGAACCCCACTAGTGACAGGTTGCCAGTCTCATGTTACCTCATCCACTGTTACCCTCTGTGCTCAACCTGTGAGCACATCCATTGTGTGATGTGTTTATCCACCTGTGTGCTGGACATTTTGTCCAGAAGGATCCTGTGAGAGACAGTATTGAAAGCTTTGCTGAAATCCAAAAGGATTACATCAACTGGCTTCCCCTGATGGGCGAGGTGTGTTTCCAGGTTTGATCAGCAGGACTTGCCTCTCGTGAAGCCGTGCTGGCTGTGACCAATGACTGTATTATCTTTCAGGTGTTTTCAATCCCTACCAGAATAATCTTCTCCATAACTTTACCAGGCACTGAAGTGAGACTGGCAGGCCTGTAGTTTCTGGGGTCCTCCATTTTGCCCCTCTTGAAAATCAGGACAATATTTGCCAGCTTCCAGTCAGCTGAGACCTCTCCAGATTCCCAAGACAGCTCAAAAATCACCGAGAGAGGTTTTGCAATGACATCAGCAGCTCTTTGAGAATTCTTGGATGAATCCCATCAGGCTCCATAGATTTGCAGGGATCCAGCTGGAGCAAGAGATCTTGCACAATTTCAGGGTTGACTGGGAGCTGATCATTCTTGCAGTCATAGTCCTCCAGCTCAGGGCATGGAGACTCCCTTTGTCTGTCATCCATGTTGAAGATAGAGGCAAAGAAAGTGTTAAACCCCTCTGCCTTGTCTGTGTCCCCTTTGTGAGGTGACCATCCCCATCCTGTAACGGGCCAAGGATATTTCTGTACTGCCTAGTCATTAATATATTTGAAAAAGCTCTTTTTATTGTTCCCCACATTTCTGGCAACTTCATCTCCAATTGAGCTTTATCAACACAAATTTTCTCCCTACAGCAGCAAACAACATCTCTGTATTCTTCATGTCACTTGACCTTGGTTCCACTGGGTATTCACCTTCCTTTTTTGCCTTATTTCCAAGAGAAGATCCCTGTTCAGCCAATCCAGCCTTCTGCTTCATCTGCTTGACTTCTGACATCTGGGAATTGCCTGCTCCTGTGCCCTTAGAAGGGGATGGTTGAAAAGTGACTGGCGCTGATGGACCCCAGCATCTGCAAAAACATTTTCCTAGGGGACCTTACTTACTAATTCCCTGAGCAGCCTGAAGTCTGCTCTCTTCGTGTCCAGAGCTGAGATTTCCTGGCACTTTTCCTCCTGTCAACAGAGGTTTTAAACTCAGTTGCCTTTTGGTCACTGTGGGCAAGATGGCCACAATCTCTACTTTGCTTGTGAGATCCACTCTGTTGACAAGCAGCAGATCAGGGAGGGATCTTTCTGCATCAGCTTCCTTAGGACCTGTTTCATAAAGTTATCATCCAGGTTTTTTAGGAATCTTCTGGCCTGGGTTATAGCAGCTGTGTGATGCTCTCAGTTAATTTCTGGCCAGCTGAAGTCCCCCACAAGAACAGTTGTGCATGTTGACTTGGAAATGTCCCTTAGTTCCTTAAAGAATACTTTGTTGGTGTTATTTCCCTGGCTAGGAGGTATATAGCAGACTGCCAGGATGATATCAACATTATTTGTTTTCAGCATCCATAAAGGAGTTTCATAATGCAGAGAGAAATGTGGGAGTGTAGAAGAGAAAAGGTTTCCTGTTAGCTACATGGTCATGGTCATCGTGGATGCCATATATAATCACATATATATAATAAACACAAATTACACATCCTTTTGCACAAAAATAAAGCAGGATCCAGGGAATGGATGGGGGTTGTTCTTCAATGTTTGCACACACGGGGGCAGAGTTAAACTTGTGTGTGGCCACTGCTTTTGCTTTTCTTCAACTGTATCTCATCTGATTTAATTGGATATTGCATTCCTTAGATTTTGTAATAACAAGAAGGTGGAAATCTCTCTTCCTCTGCCTCTTTTCCTAAAAAGTATTGGAACAAAAAAAATGAAGGTGGCTTACATTTGTAATAAATAAATAGGCATGAAAATTTTCTGGTAGGGACTCAAAAGATACAACCTGAGTTTTGAAGAAGAAATTAGCAGTTATCATTAACATACCGATTTTCTGAATTGTCTGATCTTTAAATTAAAGACATGAAAAAGAATTTCCTTTTCCCTGCTGTCTTTTGCACTGAAACCCAATACTGAAAAGTATCAGACTGCTTCTCCTGCCTCAACTCACCACTCTCTATCAAAGATGTTCCAAAACTGGCATTTATGAGCATTGTTATGTATGAGGGGGGGAAATGTCTGTTCTTTCCTTCCTGTCAACTGGCACTTACTTTCAACATGTTGTATATCCCAGGGGAAACAGACTGTCTAAAATTTAGAATAGTTGGATTTACTATGACTGGCGGTGCTTTCATGAACTCAGCACCTCCAGCTTGCTTTTAAGTGCAGCAATTAATGAGGATTGTGGGCCATCTACAACTGGTAGGAAGTGGTATGTGCTGTACAGAGGTGGGTTGTTACCTACCTATTTGTGGTCAGAGGTTACTTCCATTGGGAGATTTCCCACTGATTCAATAGCATGGAAACAAGCCATTTGTTAAAATGCCTGCCAAAATGTCTTTGTTCAGCCAGTCTAATACCAAACTCTCTCTAACCTATTTTTTATACTGTCCCTGATGTCCTTGGAATGGCTTTCAACACTGTATGTTTTTCAGTGCTTCATCACTGAAAAACTCTGTTTCCCCCAGCAGCTCATGATGCAGCAGTGGTAGCAGCTCGGGCACAATGGAGGAGATAAGATTCCTCAGGATCTGCATCCCAGTGTTGGCCTGACCATGCTGTTATCAGGGGGGATGAACCAAGAACAGCAAGAAGAGGAAGAACTGACCTTTTTCCTTTTCTCAAGCGCTTTCCCCACTCCGTAGTGTAAACCAGTGTGCTCAAGCTGATGGAAGAAGTGCTGGGATATCATACCAGGCTGAGAAAGTAGAGCTACTAAAAATGGTTTTTAGCCTTTTTTATACTTTTGCTCAGTCACTGTATGTCACCCTCTGGAGCAAGATAGGCTTCCCAGAAATGGTCACAATCTGACATTTCCACAGCGTTGGACACACAAGAAACCTGAAGCAATATATTTTGACTTCTGAGGAAAACCCAGCCAGTGTGGTTCTGAAACTGGAGTAACTATTACTGTTACAAATACAGGAAAGGGAAAAATCTGGGCAACATCAAGCTGAAATTACCTTCAAGAGGAACCTTTGAATTTAGCAGAACTTCAGCAAGCTACAGTTTTTGAGAGCTACATCAAACGGGGCGGTTTGGTGATAAAGAGAAGTGTAACTTGCCAACAAGTGGGTACCTGAGGGTAAACAGGATAGGAAGAGATAGTTAATAGAACTGTCAGGCAGTGGGGAGCAGACCCCTGGAGGCAGTGGAGGAGGTGTTGACAGCAGGCAGGCAAAGCAAGGCATGTTCACAGTATTCACAAAGAATAATAAGGTTACATTTTCATCTGATTCTTGTGTACATGAGAATCTTGCACTGTTTCATTATGTTGAAATGCAAATGCCTTTTCTGGACACATATCAGTTGAAGTACATTGTATGTTTATTTAGCTTAAATCTGTTCCCTACCACTTGAGTTAAAACAATAGAAAGCACTCCAGCAAAATAACATTCATCCTCCCACAGACTTCGCATTAATTTAACAGCATCAGTTTTTGAACTCCTTTAATTAAACTGCAACTTCCTTGCACAGGCCAGGACTGGTTGCTGCAGAAGCAGAAACATGTTAGT